GCAGGCAGACATCCCCCGAGGGGTCCTTAGCGCTGCCGCAGAGGTGGGAGAGGCTCCCATCACCACCACTGTGCTCACCAGGTGTGAGCCCACTTCTGGCTGAACAGCGCTCCCCCTGTGGGAGTGCACTGACCACCAGGGGGCAGCTCCTGCTTTGAGCATCTACCCCCTGGTGGTCAATCATAGCGACTGGTCGTTCGGTCGATTTGCATATTAGCCTTTTATTATATAGGATAAGACTTTCTCTACTGCATTTTCTGTGCATGGGTTTGGTTAACTTTCTTCTTAAGGGACCAGAAAGTCCGTAATGAATTTTATTACTTGCTGTTGAGCTTTTTTTAAAGGACTCATTTATTTCCCTGCAAAGCTTACGGTTATTGGTGATCCAACCTGTTTAAAACTCATGAACTGCTATCATTCATTTTTTAATTTTAGAAGCACTAGAGCAGAGATTATATATTTGTACCTGATGATTAACATAGTCCCTTCAAACTTGAAAGTTGTGTTTATTATCAAAAATCCATTATGAAAATATCGTACTGGTATGTATGGCACCTAGATTTTATTTATACTTTATTTCATAAGCCCAGGAGATCTGTCTAACTCTTTGCCATGGCCTGGGAAAGCCATTGGTGCTTTTCTAATTTTAGAAACTCATTTTGGAGATAGATTAGAGAATAATTTCAAGTGTATCATTTCCTCAAGTGAAATGAGGCATCTGACATTCCTTCAAATAGATTCCAGGAAATGTAGGGATTAGTAATTTTTCCCTGATAAGAGGTAATGTTATTATTTACAGTTAATAGTTGATCAGAATTTTAATATTGTAGCAAGTAAAGTAGGTTAGCCAATATGTCTTATTCATAGCTTTGAATTGTCTGAGGTTATTAATGTAAGGCTAGCATAACTTTATTTAGGAAGAAAACATATTCAAATTAACTCAGAATATTTTATTTTGAGAAAAGCAAATAAGTGAAATTCATTTCTTTCCTATTCTGATTAAAACAACTTTTATGAAATAGAATGCAGTTTTGAACTCTAACATTTATATTTTCTCTTTTTGAATCACTTAACAGAAATGTTAATTTATGTAACTAAATATCTATGAATAGTACAATAGATTATATGGAAAGACATCTATATTTGTTTCTTCTCTAGACTTAGTGACTTACTTTTCAATGAAAGTGTCAGAGTTTGCATGGAGAAGTGTAAATGTTATGTATGATTATTTGATTGGCTTTAAAAAGTTCACAATTGTGTTCAGATTGAATTATTTCAATGGGGATAATGCAGAAAGGACCATAAACTCACAGTTGTTTCTACTAAGAATTTAGAGAGTGGCTGAGGAGGACAGTTATTTATGCAAAGAAATTTGGGAAAATACTGTCTTATCAAGAAGAGGGATATTGGAAAGACATTAAGTAATTGTGTAATGAACCACTAATAATGAGCAATATGCTGCAAGTTTCTACAATGCCTTCTGAGTCATTAAATATTAAATTGTGTCAGTATAGAGAGATTTGTGCTTTTATTTATATACTACTTTTTTATTATATACTAGAGGCCTGGTACATGGATTCGTGCACTGGTGGGGTCCCTTGGTCTGGCCTGCAGGGATTGGGCTGAAGCCAGCAGTCCAACATCCCCCCAGAGGGCACAGGCTAGGCCAAGGGACCCCACCAGTGCATGAATCTGTGCACCGGGCCTCTAGTATGCATATAAGATCTTTGGTTAATCTCTTCCTGCCCGCTCCCCTCCCCCCTTCCCTCTGAGATTCATCAGTCTGTTCCATGTTTCCATGCCTGTGCATTGAGTGTCTGTCCCCTGGTGGTCAGTGTGCGTCATAGCTGCCGGTTGAATAGTCGCTTAGGCTTATATACATCTAGATTTACAACGTGTATCTTTTTATTAAACAAAGGGTTTAATGCAGTACACAACAAGAATGATGCAATGAATTAATAATAAAATATAGATAACATTGGAATGTCAGGGTTAAGAACAGAAAAATTAGACATGCTTACTATGAGGACAGATGGGGCATACTTGCCCCTCAGCTTTCTGAAAGTTCAGATGCAAAGGAGACATCATCATTTGCATGATTTAATGCTAGAACAGAATATTTTACATTTTCAAAGGCAACAAAACTCGAAAGTATTTTTTCAGGTGAGATTTTAAAGAATTTAAATTCTACTCTGAATTACCTAGGAAAATATCTTCAATATTATTTTTCACTAATTTTATTGAGCAGTTTCTTATGGTGTTTTTAAATACACATCGGTGGAGAATAATATACAAGGCATAGGCTAATATATTCCAGTGTAGCAGATTTTGATAGTCTGGCTTGACACTTGGATGTAATTTAAAAATATAGAGAGATGTCAGTTGATTTCATTTTTTAAATAATCTGTAGATAACTTTTTTTTCTGATAGAGAAGCATAAATTTTAATTAATGAATTCTGATGACAAGCATAAGTACTTAAATTTCATCTTGTTTTGAGGGGTTATCTATGTATTGTGTAAACTGAGGAAGTGATAAGACTGACACATTTTTATAAAAGTTGAGGAAGCGAAGTAGGATCTTTGCTTTGAATAGACAACCCTGGCCCACCTCAGCATGGACATAGTATTCAGGTCCCAGTTATCAGGAAGGAGACTAGGTCCTACCCATGTGCCGTGTGATTCAATGCCATGCCACTTGCCTGGGGCACCTGAAAAGTTTTTTGTGTGGAATCCAAACCCATTGATAAGACCTTAGTTGTTTTAATATTTTATTGCATTTTCTAGTTTTTTAAAGTTAAAAATCAGTGTTCTTTCCAAAGAAACATTGATAAAACCAGGCAATCCAGAAAGAGATCATCAGGATGATGAAGTGCATATATTTGGAAAAGTTGGAGGCAGCAGGAATACGTCGTCTAGAGAAGAGGATGGTTAAAGGGAATGTGACAGCTCATCAGGCATAGCTCTCTACCTTCTGGAAAAGGCATTGTCTGAGAGCAGAGCTGCATCTTATTGAGAGACAGGTTCCAACAAGGAAATGCTTGTTAAGGACTACTGTTTTTCGCTTAGCTGGTGTGGCTTAGCGCTTGAGTGTCGACCTATGAACCGGGAGGTCACTGGTTCAATTCCCAGTCAGGGCACATGGCTGAGTTGTGGGAATGATTCTCTCTCATCATTGATGTTTCTATCTCTCTCTGCCTCTCCCTTCCTCTCTAAAATCAATAATATATATATATTTAAAACAATAATATATATATATATATATTTAAAAAACTACTGTTTTACAAAGTGTGGACAGAGCTGTCTAGTGAGGCCCCAAGTTCCTGTGGGGATGGGAATAGGGTAAATTAAGATGCCACAAAGCTTACTGTTCTTACTGGAATCAGGTGAGTTTCTTACATAAATGCTGCTCAGATTGGTGCAAGCCTTCGGAGAATTTCCAGAGTTATAAAAGCATTTATTCTGATTTTTTTAAAGAATTAATTTTGAAAGAGGAAGGGAGAGAGTGAGAGAGAGAGAGAGAGAGAGAGAGATTTGTTGCCTCCTGAATATGCCCCAAGTGGGGATTTGAACCTGCCACCCTTTGGTGTATGGGATAATGCTCTAATGAACTGAGCCACACCTGCCAGGGCTATTTTGACAATTTTTACTAGTGCTTTTATTGTTTATATAGAGGAAAGACTATTCGGAGTTTCTTTCCTCTGCCTGTTTTGCTGAGTCATTCTAGAAGTGCTTTTTTAGCCATATTTTTAAAGTTAAAAAGTTGAACTCATTGACTTCCAAGGTCCCCTCTCACTCTAGAAAATTCAGTGTTAACTAATATATCACATTTTCAAACCATTCTAGATTATATAATTTACTGTACCTTTTTATAAATATGAGTTTAAAATAAAATTGAAACAGATGTTCCTTAATGCCCAAAATATGAAACACAATAGACTATAGTTTATTCTCAATTTCTGCTTAATTTTATTGACAGATTTTTAAAAATAAGTATTATCTTTTCTGCCTACTGCACTTTTACCATGTACCAAACCCCATTCTAAGTGTTTAAATATATTTATTCATTTAATTCTCCCCAAGTCTCAAACAGTAGGCTCTATTACTATGTATGTTTTCAGATGAGAAAACTGGAACATGAATAGATTAAGTAACTTGCCAAAGTCACATAATTTTTAAGTAGCAGAGCAGGGATTTGAAATTCAGAATTCAGGCTCTGCAGTCCATGTTCTTAAACATTCTATCCTGTGTCACAAAAGGATGCTTGTTGGAATGCCACATAAACATAAATGTGAATGGGTTCTGATAGACCAGCTGAGTGGGACTCTTTGGAAAATATTTGAACATTGGTGAATTGTATTCCTGAGATCTATTTTGGTTTCCCAGGGTGTCTGTGTGTGTATGCCTATTTGTATTATCAAATAGGTAAGATGGCCAGAGAAGTGATATTATACTGATGTTAAGTAATATTAAATTATAAATATTTTAATTTTACTTTTGGTTAAATTGGTGAAACTTGGATAATCCTTTGCTGTTAATTTGCATTACATTATGTACCAGAAAAAGGTAGTTATTACATTATGTACCAGAAAAAGGTAGTCATTTTCATATTGTCTGTGGCTGCTTTGGTGTTACAGTGGCAGAGATGAGTAGTTGGAACAGAGACCACATGGCCTACAAACCATAAAAGATTTACTATCTGACCCTTTAGCAAAAAAAAAAAAGTTCGTCAACCCTTGCTCTCTAGATGTGTGTTTTAGCAGCAGCTCTCAATTTCAGGTTGTGAGGAAGACAGAAGAAATCACTGGGCAGGCTTTTCAAAGAGTCCCCATCTCTATCTCCCCTCTGGCTTTCTCACAGGTGTCCCTGGTTGAGAGTCACTGTTTTAAACTTTAGGATCTAGTTGTTTCGCCCCATTAACTGATACCGATAGTTTGTTTTCACCATTTTGGCCTTCTGTATCCCATCCAGAGTAATTATGACTGTGCTATTTCTTTTACAGGGTTGTGGGAAGAAAATGTACTCCTTTTTGAGAGGAACCAAACAACTGCAGGTGCTACGGTTTCTGGGGATCTCCATTGGAGTGACACAAATCCTGGCCATGATTCTCACCATCACTTTGCTCTGGGCTCTCTATTATGATAGGAGGGAGCCTGGGACAGACCAAATAATGTCCCTGAAGAATGACACGACTCAGCACCTGTCATGTCACTCAGTGGAACTGCTGAAACCAAGCCTGACGAGGATCTTTGAACACACCTCCATGGCAAACAGCTTCGACACACACTTTGAAATGGAGGAATTATAGAGGATGTCGAAGGAGGAAACCACCCAGTTATTTTATTTCACTTGTGAATTTTTGAGCACAGAGATGTTTCAGAAATGTGTAGAAATAAAAATGCCACAAAGCAATGCCTAAGCATGTCATTTTGAACTCTTTAACATGAAGAGGGAAAAGCTCCATATATTATGTTGCCACCTGGACAATAGTTGCTGCCCTTTACAATGCCAAGGACAGATCTAATATCCACTTTATAGCTTGTGTCAGATTTTTACTAAACATAGTTATGCTTTGAGGTTTATGCTTTGGTACAGACTGACCAACGTTTCTGCATGCCTACTATGGTGGGATTGGAGCTACAGTAAAGTTCGATTTACTTCTGTAAGCTCACTAGTATATAAAGTGCCAGTTAACTGCTAACATAGGAAGTTAAATAATACTAATGATTTTTATTCTTTGGTGATATATATATTTTTTTGTGGGTAAAATAGATTAGACATAAGAAAAGTCTGAAGATTGGTGACTACCTAAATGTGATTTTTGCTAGTTACTAAAATATTCTTAACTACATCCAAGAGCAAACTAACACATTGTCTTAAGCTGATCAGGGATCTGTGTGTATATGAGAATCTGTGTTAAGTCTGTATAATTCACTAGGTTTCAGTTCTTATAATGTTAATAACAATTGTGAAAAGGATACATTTGTCCTGTATAACATCATTATTCTTAACCTTCCCTGTTAATAGAGTTTTAAAATTCTGTCTTGGTTTTTACATTACATTAGATTACATAACTGTTAATTTAAATACTTAACCACTAATTTTGAAAAATTGCTAGTGTGATACAAAAGAAGTCATTGTAATTCAGAATGCAGTCTGGTCCCTAGAGAGTATTAATAAGAAAATGTACACACAACTTAGTTCATTTAGCAAAGACCTGGATGCTATCTTTCTCCCAAACTAAGACTCTTTTTGACACTAAACACTTGTTAAAGAAGCTTATCTTTGCCTTCTCCAAACAGGAAGTGACAGTATCCAAGTCTGAATATAATTCTTCAGAGAATAGTGTTCCCTTTCTCCAGGGAAATGCTGTGAGAATCATTAAGATAAGTGGCAACTTAACCAGAGAATTTCTTTGCTTTATTTCACTGATTAAGATAGTATGGTGAAATACACAGATTATTAAATTTTTTTACAAGAATAAATATATTTATTTAAAATGGGAAAAGTGCATTTTACTGTATTTTATCTATTATGTTTATTTCTCAGAAAATGGAAAGAAAATTAAAACTTGTCAATAAATATTTTCTGGAGAGTAATAATTTGTCTGTCTAATTTGTACACATTGTAAGCACTTTTACCACTCAAGAAGATTAGCAAAGGGAGAAAAACGTGAGAAGAAATGATTGAATACAGTAATAATGATTTTCAAATTCCAACTAATCTATAAGAATATGTATCTTCACTGAGAAAAGATAAAAGATGCCCATTTACTTTTCAAGTTTGATTTTGAGCTAAATGATGATGCAACTGTTTGATATAATGTATAAAAGTACCCATTTATGTTCATTTATATCCTCAATATTTTCATATCCAAGTTTTTAAAGTAATTTTAAGAGAAAAGTAGCCTAAGAAATACAATATTTTAAATCAACAGCTAGATTTCATCTCTTCCATAGATTTAAATGAAAATAGTAAATACCTTGCTTGATCAGATTCAAAAGCAGCCCTTTTTATAATTTCCTTAACACTCCAAATCCTCATAATTTTACCTAAAATACCCAAGTAATTGAAGCAGCTTTGAGTGTTAATTGAATTATTTGGATAGCAGTCAAATTTGGCTGCTTCTCTTTTGACATTACAGAAAGAACAAGCATATGTTTTATTGACCTTGGTAAAAAAAAAACACATTTAAATTTGTAGATAAAAGTCAATTTTTACATCTTTAGACTTCAGATATTTTGATATATTGCTTGATTGAATACTCTTTAGAATAGTCAACATAAATTTAGACAATCATCTTATATTCTTATGCACTTGCTTAATGGGAACAAATGAAACATATAGCAGAGGTCTACAAAGGCCTCTATGGTAGCAGTGCACCTGGAATAATAACACTGGAAGGGACTTTAAAAAGTATATTTAAGCCCTAGCTGGTTTGGCTCAGTGGATAGAGCGTCGGCCTGTGGACTGAAGGGTCCCAGGTTCGATTCTGGTCAAGGGCACGTACCTTGGTTGCAGGTTCCCTGGCCCTGGTTGGGTTATGTGCAGGGGATAACCAATCAATGTTGTCTCTCTCACATCGATGTTTCTCTCTTTCTCTCCCTCTCCCTTCTACTCTAAAAATTAATGGAAAAATAGCCTCCACTGAGGATTAACAACAACAAAAAAAGTGTATTTAAGATGGCAGGGCTCAGGGAGTTAGTTCACTGTTTGGGTCCATTGTAAACAACATTGTTCACTGGTTCTGTGGGAATTTTTAAAAGCTTTCTTTTGTGCAAATCACCATTTTTTTAAGTAACATGTAAGAAGATTATTTTTACTCAGGTTAAGAGTCAATTCAAAGTGCCCTGGAGATTCAGAGATGACAATAAGAGGTGCTGTGTATCGTCTAGCTCTGTGAATTATAAAATCAATATGTACAAGAACATGCAGTCAGTGGTGCCATTCTTAGCGAGATGAGACTGAGGAGAGGAGAATTAAGGCAGTTAATGGAGGAAATGGCCTTCAGGCGGAGTCAGGAAGGACGAGGGGAGCTTAGCTGGCTCACAGAGGACATACCATGGGCCACTAACCTGAAGTTAAAAAAGCACATGTTATTTGTGGGGCAGGACCTGTTTACTGTGGTGAGAATATAGAATGCTTGAAGAGATTGTCATGGGAAAGGAAATGGGTGAAATTTGGGTGCTTAGACTTCATTCAGTAAGTTCAATGGCGAGTCACTGAAGTATTTTCAAAAAGAGAAGCGATTTGTGTTTCAGAAATTGAACTGGATTAACCAAGTGAGAATGTGGAGGCACGGAGACAGGTGGACATGGTACACTCCCCAGGGCGGGCCATTCTTTAGCTAGTTCGTATGGCGCTCTCTGGGGTTGTAGACACTCCAGAGCTGGGCTGGCTAGATTGCTGTTGCTGTGGCCTGGAGAGAGAGAAGGACCCTCCAGCACAATGGGAGTCAGAAGCACAGTGCCCGGAACAGGTTACACCGGGGTGAATCTCCACCATTGGGCAGCAGGTGAATCTTGGAGAATGTCGCATGAGAAGTGAAAGAACGGACATTTCTAGATTTCGTACCTGGTAAATTGGCAATGGCATTACCCTAGACAAAAGACGAGTGGGAACGGCGGTGTGGGAGGGTGATTAATGTGGTTTGGACACACTGAGTTGGACATGTCCGCAGGCCATGCAGATGGAGATGTCTGCAGGCAGCTGTAACCTTCCAGTCCGGAGCTCCAGAGAGCTCAGTGTGGAGCCTGTGAATTTTTGTGCATTGCCTTCTGAACTCAGGAAGCCTGACAGAAAATGGGCCGCGAACCAAATCTTCTGTGAGGAGAATCTTAAGCAGGATGCTGCAAGAACTTCCTATTGTCTGAACTCCCACTCCTGTGGATGAGTCAACAGAGGTAAAAAAAAAAAAAAAAAAAGAATGCACCACTGAAACTTCTGTGGCAAAAGGAGCCACCTCCCCTTTTCTGTTGTTGTTAATCCTCACCCAAGGATATATTTTTTCTCTATTGATTTAGTGTGAGGGTAGGAGGGGGAGGGAGGGAGGGAGAGAGAGAAACATCAATGGTCGGGGAGAACCTGCAGCCCTTGGCCTGGAATTGAACCCGAGACCCTTTGGCAACCACTTGGCAACACCAGCCAGGGCAGGAGCCACCTCCCTTTAAAACAACACCGCCAACTGCTATTGGCTTCACCCAGCTCCCCTTCCTGTTATCATATTGTGATTTATAAGTGGGTTTGTCTTTCAAATTAACTGAGTTCTTATTTCCTCATATCCAAGCACCCTGTAGAAACATGGATGGGAGAGTTTTGATATCATCTTGAGAGTGCATTTATTTTCTATTCTAATACGTTCTTGTGATCCTTCTTTATTGCAGGCATTTATGTAAGCCTACTAGGCACTGGCCATAGGGCACTCGGTGTTTTACACATATTTTTTCTGCTCTTTACAACTGTTGTGCAACCTGTAGGCATCACTAACCCCATCTTACACATGAACAAAAGGGACTTAGCGAGACTGAGGAAATATATTCAAGTGGAGTGCTCTGTGTCCGTTCCTCCCCACTTTGTGACGTGGCATCTGCGTCAGCCTGTGGGCCGGCTCAGCTGATCCTTCATAGAAAAGCCAGCTCCTTCTACACCGGAACCAATGTCTCTACGTTTGATTTGTCTCCAAAGTCTATTGCTTCTTCCCTCAAGACAGCTCTTTGATCTAATTTCTTCCTTCCTATTTTCCCAGAACAAGTCCTAATTATATAAAACTTTGAAGCCATACGTTGCTCTTTCCCCCTTGTCTCTTCCCAATGATCTATCTTGCATATATACACACAGAGTGAAATTAATTTCTTTAATCAACTTTATGGAGGACATATATATATCATCTATTTTAAGTATCAGTTTTCCTTGTTCACCTCATTCCAAATGACACACTCTACTTCCGTGTTCCAGGCAGCAGGCTGGGGAAAGGAAAGTGAAAGAGGAGGCCTGTGCCCCCCTTTAGGGATATCCCCAGAAGCACACATCACTTCCTTCCCATGGCACAGCTTTGGAAGGGGGTAGACTCTTTGTTCTGACACCCATGTATCCAGTTAACCAGTAAATTCTGTGACCACAGAGAAAGGGGAAAGGCACATTTGTGTCAACTAGCAATCTCTGCCATATTTCTCAATAACTGCATAATACAATCTACTTTAATTTATTTTTCAAAACCCAAATTCCATACTTCCCTGCCAGATGGGCCAACCATAGTCTACTTGTTGCCTCTAACACCCTGCATATCCTGCGCCTCCTTGATTTTGCTCACATGGTGGTTCATCTTCACAGGTTCACCTTGCACTCAGCCTTCAGGTCTCAGCTCAGCAGTCACTTCCTACATGAAGCTTTCCCTGACTACCCCACCCATAGCACTCCTTCTCACTCTGAGTTCAGCATTTATTTATTGCTAGTTTGGTTCTTATATTTTCTATTTTATAATATTATGTCGTTTTATCCTTGAGTTTTTATTTTATTTTATAATATTATTTTTCTTTTCTTTTTGTTTATATGCCTGGTCTCTCTTGAGAACTAGTATTATATTGTTTTGTATCCCACTCAACATTTTGCATAAGACGAGGTATATTTCTTATATATTAGTTGCATATTTATTTACTATGTGTGTAAATTAATAAATGCATGAATTATAAGTCAAGTTAATGAATCAAAATCCATTGTTCAACCCTGGC